CTGTTGTCATCCCGAAAGAAAGTCTGTTATCCAGTTCAAGGTTCTTCCAGTTACTCCATACTGTCTAAGAACTCCGATTAGTCTTCTGTGTGGTACCGAATCGAAGGCTTTTTTGAAGTCCAAGTATATCACGTCGACATTTTCATGTTTGTCCATTGCCCTGGTGAAGTCATCAATTACTTTCGGGAGTTGTAAGTTCAGTGATCGTCCAGATCGAAAACCGTATTGTGCATTTGTTATTAGCCCTTTTTCATTGAAATGATCCATTAAATGCTTTCGAACAAACTTTTCGAATAACTTACAACATATTGATGTTCAACTGATTGGTCTGTAGATATCTGCCATCGATTTTTTACCTTTTTTAAATATTGCAGAAAGGTTAGCCAACTTCCAGACTTCGGGTAATTTATTTGTCTCCCAGAGGTTTGGAAGATAATCAAAAGTGGTTTTGAGATGAATTCTGGTAATTCAAATAGGACCCTAGGATGAATTCCATCTGGTTCAGGCGATTTTGAAGTGTCTAACCGATTGAGTTCTTCTCGGATGTCATTCATTGTTAGCTCCAGGTTGTCATCAATGCTGGCGGTTGGTGGAGGGCTGATCTCCGAGTTACCCGGGGGTTCGTCAGTGAAAACCGATGCAAAGAAGTTTGAGAGCACTTCTGCCTTTTCGTCGTCTGTGTCAGTTAGCATACCATTCGGTTTTATTAAAGCGTGGATTGCTTCTCTTATGGTAGTTTTTTAGCGCAGGTAACTCCAGAACTTTTTCGGATTAGTTTTAATTTCTGGTGATATTTCTTTTTCACGTCTGAGTGCCTCCGATCGCGTGGCAGATCTAACTTCATTTTGTTTGGTTTTATATTTGGTTAAATTGTCGGCTGTTTGATAATTTTTGAATGTTTTCCAGGCTTTCTTTTTTTCTTTTAGTTTCATGCGCACCGCCTTTGCTAGCGGCATTTGGTTGCCACTGCGGCGTATCTTAATTAAAGGCACGAATTTTTTTACTAACTCTTTTATGCAGTTTTTCAGTTTTTCCCATTGGTTAAACTGAACGTTAGGGTCAGCTAGGAGGTTTCTCATCCCGTGGTAGTCTCCCTTTTCGTAGTTTCTCTGGTTTTTACATTTCGATTTAATCCTGTTTACTGGCACATCTATCTTGACAAGGAGGTGGTCACTTTTTCCGTTTGGCGCCTCTAACGTGATGTCTAGATCTTTTAAGACTATATCTGACATGACAACATCAAGCAGTGATGCCTTGTCTCTGCCAGTTAGCCTTGTAGGCTCTTTGATATGTTGTGTTAGTAGTGCGTCTTTTATTGCCTCTATAAAGGTGAACTCAGTGCTAATTTCATCTTTAAAGTCCTCATGGCCTCCCAATCTATCTGTGGTAGATTTGTGTCTCCCACTATTAGTGTTGAGTCATTTGACTGTGTTTCGTTCAAATTGGCGATCAAATTTTTTAGTTGGTGGTTATTTTCTTTAGTTGAGTTTGGACTTCTATACAATATATCAAAGTTGATGATGTTCCTTCCAGTTTTGATTTTTAAAAACAAGTTTTCACAGAAAGAAGAATTATTTGTGCTCAAGGAGTAGTCAAGGTTTTGATTAATATAAACTAAAATTCCGCGTCCTTGATCAGATGGGTTCATATTTTTTGATTCTATGTTATAGTATTGGATTTTATGCCATACTGGATTCCATTCTGCGCGAGAATTTATCGATTTGCCTTCCACTAGAGCGATGACATCAGGCTTGCATTTTTCTTGATTCGTTCTCCACGTGATTTCGTGCAGTTTGTCTTGAGTTAATGTTTCTATGTTTGTGTACCAGATTAATAAAGACCGGTTTGAGGTTTTTTCTTCATTCTCATTATTTGCAACCCCTCACAAGGTGCACGTAGTCTCCTTGCTCCTTTTCGTTCAAGTTTTTGATTTTATATTTGGCATCTTTTAACTTATTCAAGTTTTTCATTATCTCGTTTACATCTTTTTTGTTATCAAAGGATACTAGCAGTGGTCTGTTTGTCGTGGCTTCATCGTTCTTCTTCCCAAGTCGGACAAAACTTGTGGCTGTTTTGTTTCCCATTTGGGCCGATGCTAGAAATGCTTCTATCAGTTGTTTGTCTTCTACCTTTCTGTTATGTCCATCTTCGTGGGTACTCTCAGGTGCTTTGTAAATTATCAAGTTCTTTTTTCTTCTTTTGTCGTCTTCTTCTTCTCTTTTTTGCTCTTCAGATGCTTCCATTATAATTTCTTTTAGTGGCTTGACTTTCGGTTGTTGGGCCACTTCCCATGGTTTCTGTTCAGTTTGATTCACGGCCCTTGGTCCTGCTACAAATTTGTAGAAGTCGTTCATCATGTGGTTTAGGTTCGCCATTCTTTTGTCCAGATCGCTCCGTAGTGTATCCGGTTCTAGATTCTTGTCAGCTTCAATTAAAAATTTCACCTTCGGTGTGCAGGAACTGCAACACCAGATGACTTCAGGTTGACACATGTAATCGTAGACTTGGTCAGGCATATTTATGCATGTTGTACAAAAGTGTTCATGACATTTATCACACTCCATTACTTTATCATCGATGTTACCATAGGTCTTATTGCACGTTTTACATTGCCAAGCGTCCATTTCACTAACCGATTCAGTACCTTTAAGTCTTGTTTTTAATTTTGGAGGCATATTAAGGTTGATTTTACCAGGCCGCTCTGAGACACTTAAGTCTCAAGAAGCTACCTAATGAAATCAACTTCACGAAAATTACTGGGCCGCACTGAGACACTGAAGTCTCAAGAAGCTACCCCGTAATTTCTCCTTCAAAAACACTAAGCCCAAATCTGATTATTACTGGGCCGCTCTAAGACAATTAAGTCCCAAGAAGCTACCCTTGTAATTTCAGAAAAAGCTTACTTTTTATTTTTTGCTGTTCTTTTTCTGCCTTCGCTTCGACGTTGACTGTTTCTGTAACTTCTTCGTAGCAGACTTTGATCGTTTCTTCAGGACTAACATTTTCAAATTATTTCTACTTCTGTAGACGGTTCTGATAAGTCTCTCTTCAAGGATCAAAGAAGGGTAAATTTGCCTCGAATCTCGCAAAATTCTGTTGTTCTTTCTTTTTCTTGTGGATAATAACTTTTTTACTAGAATAATGAGGATGTCTAATGTTCTCAATCTTTTGAGTATGTCTGTGGTGTTGGTTCGTTTTGTGTATACTATTGCTGCGATCCGGTGACGCAGTCCGTGGAGAATCGTAAGCAGTAGTTTTACTGAACAAGGTTTCCAACTGTTGCTGTGGTGGGGGGCCACAGTATTGTTTATCAAGTCGTGCCACAGAATAAGTTTGTCTTCGTTCTTCTGGATCGACTGGTAGTTCTTTTTTGTGGCAGGGTTGATGCTCAATCCTCCTACTGATGTCTGGATGGGGAATAATTTTCGTTGGAAATTTCTAGGGGATGCGTCGATGGCCGCACGAAAAGAGATTGCGCCAACAAAGTGCACCATAAATCTTCACCTGCAACACCTAGAGCAGCAGGACTTTGTTATTTTTTCCGTTCAAGAAAGCGATTTTAGAATTAGCTCTAGGGCATATATCTGAAAATACACAGTTTGTATACGGGGAAAGGAAATCTATTTAATAAGTTTATCACAACAATTAGGCTAATAATGTTCGAGTACAGCTAGACTTAACTTCCATTGATGCCTGGGTCAGCAAAAATAGGATGAGACTACCAGGTTTTTATCCAAAGTTTTTATTGCAGTTCTTAAGGGATGTTTTTGAACTTCATCCAATGAAAATATTAGCAATTTTTCAAATTTTGTCAAGTGATTTTTTCAATTAATTTTTTCCAACATATTTTTCAGAATTGTTTTTTGACTTCTGTCTTAATTCATTCACTTTTTTGTGGTGCAATTTTTTTTTCATTCACTGTTTGTGGCGCATTTTTTTGCATCGAAAGTGTTGCAAAACTCTGCTCCGCCACTCTGTTACGCTTGCAATTAGCAAGCATTATCAAATCGAAATATAGACTTTTCTTCGGGTTAACAACTAGTTTAACAAAATCATTTCAATGATTTTACCTTTACGGTTTGTTGTGATTGTAACAGTCGCCTACTTCAGTCACATATGAGGCTTAAGAAAAATAGGCCCTTTAACCATTGGCTCAAGAGTCAGGGACACTATCTCTTGTGTTTTTCTACCTCAAGAACGGTCGGAGCCAATTCGGTTCGCTTGCGACATGAGACTAGAACCCGTTACAGCTTAAAGGCTACTACCAAAATATCCCCCCACTCTAGAGTATAAGAACGTTCCCAAACTTAGGTCTCAAGATACCCAAAATACATGAACGCCGTTAAAAGCAGGGCCGGAACAATCCGTTAAGTTACTTTTTATTGGACAGTGGAACTTTGATCCATTTCAGATGGATCAACCTAAAACTCGCCTTACCTCAACATAACAATCATAAAACACACTCGGGAAATTTAAATTAGGGACTCACATGTTGATGCACTCGAGTACAAGGAGTAATTAAATTGGTAAGCAACTCAAGAATTAGATAATATAACTAGATAAGTTTAATACTGGTCGGTCAGTTTTGGTAACAGAAGTAAATTCTGACTCTAGAATTTGAGTTTTTGTTTGAACCATTGGGACACTCAAGCTGTCCACCTTTCCATTGATGGTTCACTCTAGTTTGTTCCGAATAGTTGTTCTCTCTTCTTTTTATTATCTCTCTTCTTATTTCGGGATAAGACAGCTCTACTCGTGTCCTATTTTATATCTGGAAATCGCGAATAGCAATTTCCCGCTGTTCTATTCAAGCACTTTCCCGCGATTGTAAACTCGGATGTTATGATTTTTCTCTTTTTGTTTTCAGTTGGTACGAGAAAACTAAGCATGACAGGCTCCATTCGAAATTTTGAAAATTAAAACTTCACTCCAAAATTACGTATTTTCGTGCCTCTCAAGGTCAAACTTCCAGATATGACCGACTGGCACAGATAGCCTAATTGTTGTGATAAACTTATTAAATAGGTTAAAATGAGTGGGAACGGGTGGGAACGGGGGTACAGCAAATTAATGACAAAATACTTTGCTGTACCGGTGGGAACGGGGGTACAGCAAATTAATGACAAAAACGGCTTGTGCCCATGTTGCAGCAGGAAAGTCACATATAGATCAAAGGGGGTTGAATGCGAGAGTTGCCGAAACTGGTATCATCTAAAATGCGGAAAAATATCCGATGACGTATACGCATCAATAACCGAGATAGTCTGGTACTGTGAAAGCTGCTGCCGAGCTAAGAACAAGGAGAAGGATACTCCCCAGGTGAAATTGTTCCTCAGGTATGTGGATGACATTGTTAGAACAGTCAGAGGGGAGCCGAGTTGTCTTCTCGATGCCGCCAATTCTCTTCATCCAAATTTGCAGTTCACTCTAGAGAAAACTAATTCGGAGGGGAATTTGCCGTTCCTGGATTTGAACATAAATATATCGCAGGATAGGCGTGTAACTTGCAGTTGGTATCAAAAACCAACAGATACAGGGACTATACTGAACTATAGAAGCTGCGCCCCAACTCAGTATAAGCGTAGTGTTATCCAAGGTACTGTACACAGGGTTTTTAGGAGTACATCTAGCTGGGAGCAATTTGATAAGGCTATGGAAACTAATAGGGCGCAATGGCTGACAAATCAGTACCCTGAAAATTGGTCCGCAAAGGTGGCTTCAGACGCCTTGTGCAAGATCATCGAGGGTAAAGGCAAGCCCCTGGATAGTGACAGGGGTTTGTCAGTTCAATCACCAAAGGATGAAAAGCCCCCAATGCTGATGGTGCAATATAGAGGTAACCAGAGCCAATATTTTGCTAACAGGTTACGAAAATTAACGAACGTTCAAGTGGTTTTCACCACAAGAAAACTACAATCATGTTTACCATCACTGAAGTCAGCATTTTCTGATGACCTCAAGTCAAGAGTGGTTTATAAACTGTCATGTAGTGGATGCACTTCCACCTATGTCGGACAAACTGTTCGACATTTGACCACTAGAATTGAGGAACATAGGAAAGCAGACTCACCGGTAGGCCTCCACCTTCAGCAATGCCAACTTGAGGGAAATAGCGCAGATCTTAGTTGGGAAATTATAGATAGGTCAAACAACCAAACAAAATTGCTAACACTAGAGGCAATACATATCAGGAAAGAGAAACCGGGCTTGAACACGCGCGATGAGTTTAGGAGCAGGGAGTTAACACTGAAAATTTAGTCCCAAAATATTTTTGGTTTTTTATTCAAAACGTACATGTCTAAATCGAAATTATGACTCAGAAACTTCCAGACAAATTAATTTTAAAATGTTTAATTAATTTTAGAGGTTAAAAGTATTTTAATCTTAATAGTAATTTAGAGGTCAACTGTGATTGGCTAATTTTTTATCATGATGGTTTAGAACCAAATTGTATGTGATTTATTGTAAATAACATTTGTAAATTGATGTTTTATCGTCATTTAGAGTAGTTTATTGTAAAAATCCTGACGATGCACATAGTTGCGAAAACGTTTGAAATTTACTTTTTAGCAAAAATTTCTTTAAAATGAGTGTAGTTTTGTTGATTTTCAGTTGTTTTCTTGCTGGATGTTCTTCCACCTCTGCACGCCATTTTAAATCCATTTACCCTCCTCGCTGCCGCAATTTTTTAAATCCTTTTCTCTACACTCCATTTTACAATCTGTTCTTTCTCTTGTTTTGCCCCTTTTGTACCCTAATTAGTGAATGTCCGTGCCGAAGTACAGGCCGAAGTGGCTGCCCAAGTGGAGCAGGAAACTGGTAATTGTCTGCTACTTTGCAATGCTATTTTTGTTGTATCGCAAGTGATGCGAAGCTGTGCTTCGCCTCTGTGTTTGAAATTAAGATTTACACTCTTAGAGTATGCAGACTTGTCATTCAGAGGGTGCAAGCTATTGGAGAGCCCAGGCATATAATGTTTCAGAACACCTATGAGTTTATTGTGGCAACTGGCAACGACAATTCTGCCTTTTATGGCTGTGGCAAAGCAACGGTTCGAGGTAATCAACTTTTTTGTTGTGGTAGAATGTCGTTTTTACTGAGTTAAATGATGCTGTATGGCCTTTCCAGGTCTTTTTCATAAATTTGGACAGGAGAGAAGAGCGCAGATTATTGATTGAAGAAGAAATTGGAAACGTGCTTCCGAGTTTTGACTATAATCGAGTGACAGCTGTTGATGCCGAGTTAGTGAGAAATATCAGACTTAGAGTTTTTGCATTCTATTCAAGTAAAGCTAGGCTTTTTCTATTTTTTTTCCAATGAGTTGGTTTTTGAAAAGTTGTATATATTTTAGAAATTTGACTTGGCTGCTACTTGAACGGATGGGAGTTCGTGTGATGGAAAATTATCTCATGCCCGAGTCGTGGCAGAGGTAGTTATGACTAAGATTGTTTGTTCAGTAAATTACTCATATGGTTTCTTAACTTGAGCTTCCTAATTGGAATACGTTTTAGGCATCCTCTCGAGTACGTGTTTCATAGTAAGAACTATCTGTTTCTTTTCTGTAAGTTTTCCCTCTTTTATTTTGCAAACCCAATAGTAAATGCATGAAATTTTTTTAAATTTTGCAGGTTGTTTATTATAGACCCCTGAAGATGGGGGAAGTTGCGTGCTTGTTGAGCCATCACAATGTCTGGTCGGAAATCGTGAACAAACGCCACAACCTGACTATGATTCTTGAGGATGACGCTGAGTTTATTTTGGAGTTTGAAGATTTTGACTTCGACAACTTTGAGGAGGACTTGAAACTGGTCCTAAACGAATTTGATCAGATGGGAGGCGAATTACTGTACGTATTCATTAAAATTTACACAAGCAGGCTTACAAGCGCAGTGTTGTGAGACCAGTGCACTCTTTTCCAATGCAAGTTGCAAATTTTAAGGAACACGTTAAATAGACAGCATATTTAGTCTACCCCTTAGGTTTAGTCTAGCCCAGGCTTAGCAGCATCTTACATTAACTGTAGATTAGATAAGTTTTTCAGTTTTCCTGTATTCTTTTAAAGGTTTTACCAATGACTATAGTTTATTGGTTTTTGTTTAGTTTCAGACCGATTTGTTTTTATATACTAAGTTAGGTTTTTTTTATTGACTCGTTTAGATCAATTTTTTGAAGATTTTGACTTCGACAACTTTGAGGAGGACTTGAAACTGGTCCTAAACGAATTTGATCAGATGGGAGGCGAATTACTGTACGTATTCATTAAAATTTACACAAGCGAGCTTACAAGCGCAGTGTTGTGAGACCAGTGCACTCTTTTCCAATGCAAGTTGCAAATTTTAAGGAACACGTTAAATAGACAGCATATTTAGTCTACCCCTTAGGTTTAGTCTAGCCCAGGCTTAGCAGCATCTTACATTAACTGTAGATTAGATAAGTTTTTCAGTTTTCCTGTATTCTTTTAAAGGTTTTACCAATGACTATAGTTTATTGGTTTTTGTTTAGTTTCAGACCGATTTGTTTTTATATACTAAGTTAGGTTTTTTTTATTGACTCGTTTAGATCAATTTTTTGAAGATTTTGACTTCGACAACTTTGAGGAGGACTTGAAACTGGTCCTGAAACTGGTCCTAAACTGAAGTCTCAAGAAGCTACCCCGTAATTTCTCCTTCAAAAACACTAAGCCCAAATCTGATTATTACTGGGCCGCTCTAAGACAATTAAGTCCCAAGAAGCTACCCTTGTAATTTCAGAAAAAGCTTACTTTTTATTTTTTGCTGTTCTTTTTCTGCCTTCGCTTCGACGTTGACTGTTTCTGTAACTTCTTCGTAGCAGACTTTGATCGTTTCTTCAGGACTAACATTTTCAAATTATTTCTACTTCTGTAGACGGTTCTGATTAGTCTCTCTTCAAGGATCAAAGAAGGGTAAATTTGCCTCGAATCTCGCAAAATTCTGTTGTTCTTTCTTTTTCTTGTGGATAATAACTTTTTTACTAGAATAATGAGGATGTCTAATGTTCTCAATCTTTTGAGTATGTCTGTGGTGTTGGTTCGTTTTGTGTATACTATTGCTGCGATCCGGTGACGCAGTCCGTGGAGAATCGTAAGCAGTAGTTTTACTGAACAAGGTTTCCAACTGTTGCTGTGGTGGGGGGCCACAGTATTGTTTATCAAGTCGTGCCACAGAATAAGTTTGTCTTCGTTCTTCTGGATCGACTGGTAGTTCTTTTTTGTGGCAGGGTTGATGCTCAATCCTCCTACTGATGTCTGGATGGGGAATAATTTTCGTTGGAAATTTCTAGGGGATGCGTCGATGGCCGCACGAAAAGAGATTGCGCCAACAAAGTGCACCATAAATCTTCACCTGCAACACCTAGAGCAGCAGGACTTTGTTATTTTTTCCGTTCAAGAAAGCGATTTTAGAATTAGCTCTAGGGCATATATCTGAAAATACACAGTTTGTATACGGGGAAAGGAAATCTATTTAATAAGTTTATCACAACAATTAGGCTAATAATGTTCGAGTACAGCTAGACTTAACTTCCATTGATGCCTGGGTCAGCAAAAATAGGATGAGACTACCAGGTTTTTATCCAAAGTTTTTATTGCAGTTCTTAAGGGATGTTTTTGAACTTCATCCAATGAAAATATTAGCAATTTTTCAAATTTTGTCAAGTGATTTTTTCAATTAATTTTTTCCAACATATTTTTCAGAATTGTTTTTTGACTTCTGTCTTAATTCATTCACTTTTTTGTGGTGCAATTTTTTTTTCATTCACTGTTTGTGGCGCATTTTTTTGCATCGAAAGTGTTGCAAAACTCTGCTCCGCCACTCTGTTACGCTTGCAATTAGCAAGCATTATCAAATCGAAATATAGACTTTTCTTCGGGTTAACAACTAGTTTAACAAAATCATTTCAATGATTTTACCTTTACGGTTTGTTGTGATTGTAACAGTCGCCTACTTCAGTCACATATGAGGCTTAAGAAAAATAGGCCCTTTAACCATTGGCTCAAGAGTCAGGGACACTATCTCTTGTGTTTTTCTACCTCAAGAACGGTCGGAGCCAATTCGGTTCGCTTGCGACATGAGACTAGAACCCGTTACAGCTTAAAGGCTACTACCAAAATATCCCCCACTCTAGAGTATAAGAACGTTCCCAAACTTAGGTCTCAAGATACCCAAAATACATGAACGCCGTTAAAAGCAGGGCCGGAACAATCCGTTAAGTTACTTTTTATTGGACAGTGGAACTTTGATCCATTTCAGATGGATCAACCTAAAACTCGCCTTACCTCAACATAACAATCATAAAACACACTCGGGAAATTTAAATTAGGGACTCACATGTTGATGCACTCGAGTACAAGGAGTAATTAAATTGGTAAGCAACTCAAGAATTAGATAATATAACTAGATAAGTTTAATACTGGTCGGTCAGTTTTGGTAACAGAAGTAAATTCTGACTCTAGAATTTGAGTTTTTGTTTGAACCATTGGGACACTCAAGCTGTCCACCTTTCCATTGATGGTTCACTCTAGTTTGTTCCGAATAGTTGTTCTCTCTTCTTTTTATTATCTCTCTTCCTATTTCGGGATAAGACAGCTCTACTCGTGTCCTATTTTATATCTGGAAATCGCGAATAGCAATTTCCCGCTGTTCTATTCAAGCACTTTCCCGCGATTGTAAACTCGGATGTTATGATTTTTCTCTTTTTGTTTTCAGTTGGTACGAGAAAACTAAGCATGACAGGCTCCATTCGAAATTTTGAAAATTAAAACTTCACTCCAAAATTACGTATTTTCGTGCCTCTCAAGGTCAAACTTCCAGATATGACCGACTGGCACAGATAGCCTAATTGTTGTGATAAACTTATTAAATAGGTTAAAATGAGTGGGAACGGGTGGGAACGGGGGTACAGCAAATTAATGACAAAATACTTTGCTGTACCGGTGGGAACGGGGGTACAGCAAATTAATGACAAAAACGGCTTGTGCCCATGTTGCAGCAGGAAAGTCACATATAGATCAAAGGGGGTTGAATGCGAGAGTTGCCGAAACTGGTATCATCTAAAATGCGGAAAAATATCCGATGACGTATACGCATCAATAACCGAGATAGTCTGGTACTGTGAAAGCTGCTGCCGAGCTAAGAACAAGGAGAAGGATACTCCCCAGGTGAAATTGTTCCTCAGGTATGTGGATGACATTGTTAGAACAGTCAGAGGGGAGCCGAGTTGTCTTCTCGATGCCGCCAATTCTCTTCATCCAAATTTGCAGTTCACTCTAGAGAAAACTAATTCGGAGGGGAATTTGCCGTTCCTGGATTTGAACATAAATATATCGCAGGATAGGCGTGTAACTTGCAGTTGGTATCAAAAACCAACAGATACAGGGACTATACTGAACTATAGAAGCTGCGCCCCAACTCAGTATAAGCGTAGTGTTATCCAAGGCACTGTACACAGGGTTTTTAGGAGTACATCTAGCTGGGAGCAATTTGATAAGGCTATGGAAACTAATAGGGCGCAATGGCTGACAAATCAGTACCCTGAAAATTGGTCCGCAAAGGTGGCTTCAGACGCCTTGTGCAAGATCATCGAGGGTAAAGGCAAGCCCCTGGATAGTGACAGGGGTTTGTCAGTTCAATCACCAAAGGATGAAAAGCCCCCAATGCTGATGGTGCAATATAGAGGTAACCAGAGCCAATATTTTGCTAACAGGTTACGAAAATTAACGAACGTTCAAGTGGTTTTCACCACAAGAAAACTACAATCATGTTTACCATCACTGAAGTCAGCATTTTCTAATGACCTCAAGTCAAGAGTGGTTTATAAACTGTCATGTAGTGGATGCACTTCCACCTATGTCGGACAAACTGTTCGACATTTGACCACTAGAATTGAGGAACATAGGAAAGCAGACTCACCGGTAGGCCTCCACCTTCAGCAATGCCAACTTGAGGGAAATAGCGCAGATCTTAGTTGGGAAATTATAGATAGGTCAAACAACCAAACAAAATTGCTAACACTAGAGGCAATACATATCAGGAAAGAGAAACCGGGCTTGAACACGCGCGATGAGTTTAGGAGCAGGGAGTTAACACTGAAAATTTAGTCCCAAAATATTTTTGGTTTTTTATTCAAAACGTACATGTCTAAATCGAAATTATGACTCAGAAACTTCCAGACAAATTAATTTTAAAATGTTTAATTAATTTTAGAGGTTAAAAGTATTTTAATCTTAATAGTAATTTAGAGGTCAACTGTGATTGGCTAATTTTTTATCATGATGGTTTAGAACCAAATTGTATGTGATTTATTGTAAATAACATTTGTAAATTGATGTTTTATCGTCATTTAGAGTAGTTTATTGTAAAAATCCTGACGATGCACATAGTTGCGAAAACGTTTGAAATTTACTTTTTAGCAAAAATTTCTTTAAAATGAGTGTAGTTTTGTTGATTTTCAGTTGTTTTCTTGCTGGATGTTCTTCCACCTCTGCACGCCATTTTAAATCCATTTACCCTCCTCGCTGCCGCAATTTTTTAAATCCTTTTCTCTACACTCCATTTTACAATCTGTTCTTTCTCTTGTTTTGCCCCTTTTGTACCCTAATTAGTGAATGTCCGTGCCGAAGTACAGGCCGAAGTGGCTGCCCAAGTGGAGCAGGAAACTGGTAATTGTCTGCTACTTTGCAATGCTATTTTTGTTGTATCGCAAGTGATGCGAAGCTGTGCTTCGCCTCTGTGTTTGAAATTAAGATTTACACTCTTAGAGTATGCAGACTTGTCATTCAGAGGGTGCAAGCTATTGGAGAGCCCAGGCATATAATGTTTCAGAACACCTATGAGTTTATTGTGGCAACTGGCAACGACAATTCTGCCTTTTATGGCTGTGGCAAAGCAACGGTTCGAGGTAATCAACTTTTTTGTTGTGGTAGAATGTCGTTTTTACTGAGTTAAATGATGCTGTATGGCCTTTCCAGGTCTTTTTCATAAATTTGGACAGGAGAGAAGAGCGCAGATTATTGATTGAAGAAGAAATTGGAAACGTGCTTCCGAGTTTTGACTATAATCGAGTGACAGCTGTTGATGCCGAGTTAGTGAGAAATATCAGACTTAGAGTTTTTGCATTCTATTCAAGTAAAGCTAGGCTTTTTCTATTTTTTTTCCAATGAGTTGGTTTTTGAAAAGTTGTATATATTTTAGAAATTTGACTTGGCTGCTACTTGAACGGATGGGAGTTCGTGTGATGGAAAATTATCTCATGCCCGAGTCGTGGCAGAGGTAGTTATGACTAAGATTGTTTGTTCAGTAAATTACTCATATGGTTTCTTAACTTGAGCTTCCTAATAGGAATACGTTTTAGGCATCCTCTCGAGTACGTGTTTCATAGTAAGAACTATCTGTTTCTTTTCTGTAAGTTTTCCCTCTTTTATTTTGCAAACCCAATAGTAAATGCATGAAATTTTTTTAAATTTTGCAGGTTGTTTATTATAGACCCCTGAAGATGGGGGAAGTTGCGTGCTTGTTGAGCCATCACAATGTCTGGTCGGAAATCGTGAACAAACGCCACAACCTGACTATGATTCTTGAGGATGACGCTGAGTTTATTTTGGAGTTTGAAGATTTTGACTTCGACAACTTTGAGGAGGACTTGAAACTGGTCCTAAACGAATTTGATCAGATGGGAGGCGAATTACTGTACGTATTCATTAAAATTTACACAAGCAGGCTTACAAGCGCAGTGTTGTGAGACCAGTGCACTCTTTTCCAATGCAAGTTGCAAATTTTAAGGAACACGTTAAATAGACAGCATATTTAGTCTACCCCTTAGGTTTAGTCTAGCCCAGGCTTAGCAGCATCTTACATTAACTGTAGATTAGATAAGTTTTTCAGTTTTCCTGTATTCTTTTAAAGGTTTTACCAATGACTATAGTTTATTGGTTTTTGTTTAGTTTCAGACCGATTTGTTTTTATATACTAAGTTAGGTTTTTTTTATTGACTCGTTTAGATCAATTTTTTGAAGATTTTGACTTCGACAACTTTGAGGAGGACTTGAAACTGGTCCTAAACGAATTTGATCAGATGGGAGGCGAATTACTGTACGTATTCATTAAAATTTACACAAGCGAGCTTACAAGCGCAGTGTTGTGAGACCAGTGCACTCTTTTCCAATGCAAGTTGCAAATTTTAAGGAACACGTTAAATAGACAGCATATTTAGTCTACCCCTTAGGTTTAGTCTAGCCCAGGCTTAGCAGCATCTTACATTAACTGTAGATTAGATAAGTTTTTCAGTTTTCCTGTATTCTTTTAAAGGATTTACCAATGACTATAGTTTATTGGTTTTTGTTTAGTTTCAGACCGATTTGTTTTTATATACTAAGTTAGGTTTTTTTTATTGACTCGTTTAGATCAATTTTTTGAAGATTTTGACTTCGACAACTTTGAGGAGGACTTGAAACTGGTCCTGAAACTGGTCCTAAACTGAAGTCTCAAGAAGCTACCCCGTAATTTCTCCTTCAAAAACACTAAGCCCAAATCTGATTATTACTGGGCCGCTCTAAGACAATTAAGTCCCAAGAAGCTACCCTTGTAATTTCAGAAAAAGCTTACTTTTTATTTTTTGCTGTTCTTTTTCTGCCTTCGCTTCGACGTTGACTGTTTCTGTAACTTCTTCGTAGCAGACTTTGATCGTTTCTTCAGGACTAACATTTTCAAATTATTTCTACTTCTGTAGACGGTTCTGATTAGTCTCTCTTCAAGGATCAAAGAAGGGTAAATTTGCCTCGAATCTCGCAAAATTCTGTTGTTCTTTCTTTTTCTTGTGGATAATAACTTTTTTACTAGAATAATGAGGATGTCTAATGTTCTCAATCTTTTGAGTATGTCTGTGGTGTTGGTTCGTTTTGTGTATACTATTGCTGCGATCCGGTGACGCAGTCCGTGGAGAATCGTAAGCAGTAGTTTTACTGAACAAGGTTTCCAACTGTTGCTGTGGTGGGGGGCCACAGTATTGTTTATCAAGTCGTGCCACAGAATAAGTTTGTCTTCGTTCTTCTGGATCGACTGGTAGTTCTTTTTTGTGGCAGGGTTGATGCTCAATCCTCCTACTGATGTCTGGATGGGGAATAATTTTCGTTGGAAATTTCTAGGGGATGCGTCGATGGCCGCACGAAAAGAGATTGCGCCAACAAAGTGCACCATAAATCTTCACCTGCAACACCTAGAGCAGCAGGACTTTGTTATTTTTTCCGTTCAAGAAAGCGATTTTAGAATTAGCTCTAGGGCATATATCTGAAAATACACAGTTTGTATACGGGGAAAGGAAATCTATTTAATAAGTTTATCACAACAATTAGGCTAATAATGTTCGAGTACAGCTAGACTTAACTTCCATTGATGCCTGGGTCAGCAAAAATAGGATGAGACTACCAGGTTTTTATCCAAAGTTTTTATTGCAGTTCTTAAGGGATGTTTTTGAACTTCATCCAATGAAAATATTAGCAATTTTTCAAATTTTGTCAAGTGATTTTTTCAATTAATTTTTTCCAACATATTTTTCAGAATTGTTTTTTGACTTCTGTCTTAATTCATTCACTTTTTTGTGGTGCAATTTTTTTTTCATTCACTGTTTGTGGCGCATTTTTTTGCATCGAAAGTGTTGCAAAACTCTGCTCCGCCACTCTGTTACGCTTGCAATTAGCAAGCATTATCAAATCGAAATATAGACTTTTCTTCGGGTTAACAACTAGTTTAACAAAATCATTTCAATGATTTTACCTTTACGGTTTGTTGTGATTGTAACAGTCGCCTACTTCAGTCACATATGAGGCTTAAGAAAAATAGGCCCTTTAACCATTGGCTCAAGAGTCAGGGACACTATCTCTTGTGTTTTTCTACCTCAAGAACGGTCGGAGCCAATTCGGTTCGCTTGCGACATGAGACTAGAACCCGTTACAGCTTAAAGGCTACTACCAAAATATCCCCCACTCTAGAGTATAAGAACGTTCCCAAACTTAGGTCTCAAGATACCCAAAATACATGAACGCCGTTAAAAGCAGGGCCGGAACAATCCGTTAAGTTACTTTTTATTGGACAGTGGAACTTTGATCCATTTCAGATGGATCAACCTAAAACTCGCCTTACCTCAACATAACAATCATAAAACACACTCGGGAAATTTAAATTAGGGACTCACATGTTGATGCACTCGAGTACAAGGAGTAATTAAATTGGTAAGCAACTCAAGAATTAGATAATATAACTAGATAAGTTTAATACTGGTCGGTCAGTTTTGGTAACAGAAGTAAATTCTGACTCTAGAATTTGAGTTTTTGTTTGAACCATTGGGACACTCAAGCTGTCCACCTTTCCATTGATGGTTCACTCTAGTTTGTTCCGAATAGTTGTTCTCTCTTCTTTTTATTATCTCTCTTCCTATTTCGGGATAAGACAGCTCTACTCGTGTCCTATTTTATATCTGGAAATCGCGAATAGCAATTTCCCGCTGTTCTATTCAAGCACTTTCCCGCGATTGTAAACTCGGATGTTATGATTTTTCTCTTTTTGTTTTCAGTTGGTACGAGAAAACTAAGCATGACAGGCTCCATTCGAAATTTTGAAAATTAAAACTTCACTCCAAAATTACGTATTTTCGTGCCTCTCAAGGTCAAACTTCCAGATATGACCGACTGGCACAGATAGCCTAATTGTTGTGATAAACTTATTAAATAGGTTAAAATGAGTGGGAACGGGTGGGAACGGGGGTACAGCAAATTAATGACAAAATACTTTGCTGTACCGGTGGGAACGGGGGTACAGCAAATTAATGACAAAAACGGCTTGTGCCCATGTTGCAGCAGGAAAGTCACATATAGATCAAAGGGGGTTGAATGCGAGAGTTGCCGAAACTGGTATCATCTAAAATGCGGAAAAATATCCGATGACGTATACGCATCAATAACCGAGATAGTCTGGTACTGTGAAAGCTGCTGCCGAGCTAAGAACAAGGAGAAGGATACTCCCCAGGTGAAATTGTTCCTCAGGTATGTGGATGACATTGTTAGAACAGTCAGAGGGGAGCCGAGTTGTCTTCTCGATGCCGCCAATTCTCTTCATCCAAATTTGCAGTTCACTCTAGAGAAAACTAATTCGGAGGGGAATTTGCCGTTCCTGGATTTGAACATAAATATATCGCAGGATAGGCGTGTAACTTGCAGTTGGTATCAAAAACCAACAGATACAGGGACTATACTGAACTATAGAAGCTCAGTATAAGCGTAGTGTTATCCAAGGCACTGTACACAGGGTTTTTAGGAGTACATCTAGCTGGGAGCAATTTGATAAGGCTATGGAAACTAATAGGGCGCAATGGCTGACAAATCAGTACCCTGAAAATTGGTCCGCAAAGGTGGCTTCAGACGCCTTGTGCAAGATCATCGAGGGTAAAGGCAAGCCCCTGGATAGTGACAGGGGTTTGTCAGTTCAATCACCAAAGGATGAAAAGCCCCCAATGCTGATGGTGCAATATAGAGGTAACCAGAGCCAATATTTTGCTAACAGGTTACGAAAATTAACGAACGTTCAAGTGGTTTTCACCACAAGAAAACTACAATCATGTTTACCATCACTGAAGTCAGCATTTTCTAATGACCTCAAGTCAAGAGTGGTTTATAAACTGTCATGTAGTGGATGCACTTCCACCTATGTCGGACAAACTGTTCGACATTTGACCACTAGAATTGAGGAACATAGGAAAGCAGACTCACCGGTAGGCCTCCACCTTCAGCAATGCCAACTTGAGGGAAATAGCGCAGATCTTAGTTGGGAAATTATAGATAGGTCAAACAACCAAACAAAATTGCTAACACTAGAGGCAATACATATCAGGAAAGAGAAACCGGGCTTGAACACGCGCGATGAGTTTAGGAGCAGGGAGTTAACACTGAAAATTTAGTCCCAAAATATTTTTGGTTTTTTATTCAAAACGTACATGTCTAAATCGAAATTATGACTCAGAAACTTCCAGACAAATTAATTTTAAAATGTTTAATTAATTTTAGAGGTTAAAAGTATTTTAATCTTAATAGTAATTTAGAGGTCAACTGTGATTGGCTAATTTTTTATCATGATGGTTTAGAACCAAATTGTATGTGATTTATTGTAAATAACATTTGTAAATTGATGTTTCATCGTCATTTAGAGTAGTTTATTGTAAAAATCCTGACGATGCACATAGTTGCGAAAACGTTTGAAATTTACTTTTTAGCAAAAATTTCTTTAAAATGAGTGTAGTTTTGTTGATTTTCAGTTGTTTTCTTGCTGGATGTTCTTCCACCTCTGCACGCCATTTTAAATCCATTTACCCTCCTCGCTGCCGCAATTTTTTAAATCCTTTTCTCTACACTCCATTTTACAATCTGTTCTTTCTCTTGTTTTGCCCCTTTTGTACCCTAATTAGTGAATGTCCGTGCCGAAGTACAGGCCGAAGTGGCTGCCCAAGTGGAGCAGGAAACTGGTAATTGTCTGCTACTTTGCAATGCTATTTTTGTTGTATCGCAAGTGATGCGAAGCTGTGCTTCGCCTCTGTGTTTGAAATTAAGATTTACACTCTTAGAGTATGCAGACTTGTCATTCAGAGGGTGCAAGCTATTGGAGAGCCCAGGCATATAATGTTTCAGAACACCTATGAGTTTATTGTGGCAACTGGCAACGACAATTCTGCCTTTTATGGCTGTGGCAAAGCAACGGTTCGAGGTAATCAACTTTTTTGTTGTGGTAGAATGTCGTTTTTACTGAGTTAAATGATGCTGTATGGCCTTTCCAGGTCTTTTTCATAAATTTGGACAGGAGAGAAGAGCGCAGATTATTGATTGAAGAAGAAATTGGAAACGTGCTTCCGAGTTTTGACTATAATCGAGTGACAGCTGTTGATGCCGAGTTAGTGAGAAATATCAGACTTAGAGTTTTTGCATTCTATTCAAGTAAAGCTAGGCTTTTTCTATTTTTTTTCCAATGAGTTGGTTTTTGAAAAGTTGTATATATTTTAGAAATTTGACTTGGCTGCTACTTGAACGGATGGGAGTTCGTGTGATGGAAAATTATCTCATGCCCGAGTCGTGGCAGAGGTAGTTATGACTAAGATTGTTTGTTCAGTAAATTACTCATATGGTTTCTTAACTTGAGCTTCCTAATAGGAATACGTTTTAGGCATCCTCTCGAGTACGTGTTTCATAGTAAGAACTATCTGTTTCTTTTCTGTAAGTTTTCCCTCTTTTATTTTGCAAACCCAATAGTAAATGCATGAAATTTTTTTAAATTTTGCAGGTTGTTTATTATAGACCCCTGAAGATGGGGGAAGTTGCGTGCTTGTTGAGCCATCACAATGTCTGGTCGGAAATCGTGAACAAACGCCACAACCTGACTATGATTCTTGAGGATGACGCTGAGTTTATTTTGGAGTTTGAAGATTTTGACTTCGACAACTTTGAGGAGGACTTGAAACTGGTCCTAAACGAATTTGATCAGATGGGAGGCGAATTACTGTACGTATTCATTAAAATTTACACAAGCAGGCTTACAAGCGCAGTGTTGTGAGACCAGTGCACTCTTTTCCAATGCAAGTTGCAAATTTTAAGGAACACGTTAAATAGACAGCATATTTAGTCTACCCCTTAGGTTTAGTCTAGCCCAGGCTTAGCAGCATCTTACATTAACTGTAGATTAGATAAGTTTTTCAGTTTTCCTGTATTCTTTTAAAGGTTTTACCAATGACTATAGTTTATTGGTTTTTGTTTAGTTTCAGACCGATTTGTTTTTATATACTAAGTTAGGTTTTTTTTATTGACTCGTTTAGATCAATTTTTTGAAGATTTTGACTTCGACAACTTTGAGGAGGACTTGAAACTGGTCCTAAACGAATTTGATCAGATGGGAGGCGAATTACTGTACGTATTCATTAAAATTTACACAAGCGAGCTTACAAGCGCAGTGTTGTGAGACCAGTGCACTCTTTTCCAATGCAAGTTGCAAATTTTAAGGAACACGTTAAATAGACAGCATATTTAGTCTACCCCTTAGGTTTAGTCTAGCCCAGGCTTAGCAGCATCTTACATTAACTGTAGATTAGATAAGTTTTTCAGTTTTCCTGTATTCTTTTAAAGGTTTTACCAATGACTATAGTTTATTGGTTTTTGTTTAGTTTCAGACCGATTTGTTTTTATATACTAAGTTAGGTTTTTTTTATTGACTCGTTTAGATCAATTTTTTGAAGATTTTGACTTCGACAACTTTGAGGAGGACTTGAAACTGGTCCTAAACGAATTTGATCAGATGGGAGGCGAATTACTGGTGGTAGAATGTCGTTTTTACTGAGTTAAATGATGCTGTATGGCCTTTCCAGGTCTTTTTCATAAATTTGGACAGGAGAGAAGAGCGCAGATTATTGATTGAAGAAGAAATTGGAAACGTGCTTCCGAGTTTTGACTATAATCGAGTGACAGCTGTTGATGCCGAGTTAGTGAGAAATATCAGACTTAGAGTTTTTGCATTCTATTCAAGTAAAGCTAGGCTTTTTCTATTTTTTTTCCAATGAGTTGGTTTTTGAAAACTTTGAGGAGGACTTGAAACTGGTCCTAAACGAATTTGATCAGATGGGAGGCGAATTACTGTACGTATTCATTAAAATTTACACAAGCGAGCTTACAAGCGCAGTGTTGTGAGACCAGTGCACTCTTTTCCAATGCAAGTTGCAAATTTTAAGGAACACGTTAAATAGACAGCATATTTAGTCTACCCCTTAGGTTTAGTCTAGCCCAGGCTTAGCAGCATCTTACATTAACTGTAGATTAGATAAGTTTTTCAGTTTTCCTGTATTCTTTTAAAGGTTTTACCAATGACTATAGTTTATTGGTTTTTGTTTAGTTTCAGACCGATTTGTTTTTATATACTAAGTTAGGTTTTTTTATTGACTCGTTTAGATCAATTTTTTGAAGATTTTGACTTCGACAACTTTGAGGAGGACTTGAAACTGGTCCTAAACGAATTTGATCAATTTTTAATCAATTTTTAAAAGTCGATGAACGTAGTTCAGACGCTTACATAGATCGTGACAATTTTGTCTCTGGAAAAAGTCTGAAAAGTTTGTTCATGCTCAAATTTGATGTTTCGTGGTTTGACTTAAGATTTCTTTCGATTCATTTACTTTGTTGAAAGGAATGAAGTTTCCACTAGCGAACAGCAAAAGTGTAAAGGTCACAAAAAACGTGATCGACTTCTGATTTCGAAAGTGGATTATAATATGCAGATTTCCGATCTGAATAAAAAAAAACTTCCTTATTGATCAAATTTTCTCAAATTGGGATAATTTTATCCAAAAAGTGCCATTGATAAATTGTTCTTGAAGTTCAAAGAGCTTTAAGGCCAGCAGTTTTGTCTTCGTTTGTTCGTTTTCAGTTTCATTTTTGTATCCTTCTGCTTTGAATGAAGGGCTAAATTTCTGAAGCTTGTATGATGATGCTTCACTGCTTAACAAAACTAAAAAAATCCTGTTCTAAAAGGTTTTGCCCAAATTCTCATTGTCCAAAGGTTTTGTCCGAAATATATATTCTTCAATTTCCTTTTTGATTTTCGCAATCTTCTGAAATGGGCTCCGCTTTAGTCGCTGCAGTTTTTGAAATTAGGCTGAGGTTGGCTACAAGGAAATGGCTTCTGTTGGCTATTTCTGTTTTTTTTTGGTAACATATTTTTCAGTTCAAGCGCTGACGTGATGCGAAAAAATGAGAAATTTTCTGTCTAATCTAACATTTTTTTAATTGAATTTGGAGGTCGTTTTATTCCGAAGTTGAAGTGTTTTCTTTCCTTTCAAATTATTATTCCGAGTGCTCTCTGTGTTTTTACCCTTGCGGTAAGCAAAAGTTTTGCAATCGGGTACTAGATTTTTTTCGTAAATAACTTTATTCTTTACGAAAAAAAAGAACAACGATTTTTTTCTATCATTTTCATTTTGGCTTTTATTTTTGAAGGCTTTTTAAGAGCTTCATTAGGCTTTTTTGACATGGATGTTCAGTTCAAGCGCTCACGTGATGCAAAAAAATGAGAAATTTTCTGTCTAATCTAACATTTTTAAATTGATTTTGGAGGTCGTTTTATTCCGAAGTTGAAGTGTTTTCTTTCCTTTCAAATTATTATTACGAGTGCTCTCCGTGTTTTTACCCTTGCGGTAAGCAAAGGTTTTGCAATCGGGTACTAGATTTTTTTCGTTAATAACTTTGTTCACAGGACTCATCTCCTGGAGCCTGGACTCATTCATCTACTTGCTTTAATATGAATTCAAATTCATTCATCCATCCAGCGCATCTGGCTTCGAGGTAGCACGCCTACTTGAGACGGCAAATGCTTGTGGTTATAATTTCCTCTAAATTCCTGAAGGCAATTTTAAAAAGCCCAGTGCCGGAGGTAATTGAATAACAAAGTTTTTCGAGTTTTAATTATATCTGTTTTTTTTTTGAGAAATTAAAAAAAAATTCGAATTAAATTGACTTTTTTGTATTTTTTTAAAGGTTTTTGATGGTCTAGGTATTTTTTTGTTTCTAAACATTTTTGGGCTTTTTTGAAATTGTTTGAAGTTTAAATAAACTTGTGGTGAGAAGGCTTTTTGGGGTTGGTCATGTTGAGCGAATGTAATCGTAATCGTTTTAAAAAAAAATTCGAATTAAATTGACTTTTTTGTATTTTTTTAAAGGTTTTTGATGGTCTAGGTATTTTTGTTTCTAAACATTTTTTGGCTTTTTTGAAATTGTTTGAAGTTTAAATAAACTTGCGGTGAGAAGGCTTTTTTGGGGTTGGTCATGTTAAGCGATTGAGCGGTAACATCGCTTAACATGACCAACCCCAAAAAAGCCTTCTCACCACAAGTTTATTTAAACTTCAAACAATTTCAAAAAGCCAAAAAATGTTTAGAAACAAAAATACCCGATAAGTACCCGATTCCGAAGTTGAAGTGTTTTCTTTCCTTTCAAATTATTATTACGAGTGCTCTCCGTGTTTTTACTCTTGCGGTAAGCAAAGGTTTTGCAATCGGGTACTAGATTTTTTTCGTTAATAACTTTGTTCACAGGACTCATCTCCTGGAGCCTGGACTCATTCATCTACTTGCTTTAATATGAATTCAAATTCATTCATCCATCCAGCGCATCTGGCTTCGAGGTAGCACGCCTACTTGAGACGGCAAATGCTTGTGGAGACGGCAAATGCAAATGAGACGGCAAATCGCTTAACATGACCAACCCCAAAAAAGCCTTCTCACCACAAGTTTATTTAAACTTCAAACAATTTCAAAAAAGCCAAAAAATGTTTAGAAACAAAAATACCCGATAAGTACCCGATTCCGAAGTTGAAGTGTTTTCTTTCCTTTCAAATTATTATTACGAGTGCTCTCCGTGTTTTTAGCCTTGCGGTAAGCAAAGGTTTTGCAATCGGGTACTAGATTTTTTTCGTTAATAACTTTGTTCACAGGACTCATCTCCTGGAGCCTGGACTCATTCATCTACTTGCTTTAATATGAATTCAAATTCATTCATCCATCCAGCGCATCTGGCTTCGAGGTAGCACGCCTACTTGAGACGGCAGATGCTTGTGGTTCTAATTTCCTCTAAATTCCTGAAGGCAATTTTAAAAAGCCCAGTGCCGGAGGTAATTGAATTACAAAGTTTTTCGAGTTTTAATTATATCTGTTTTTTTTTGAGAAATTAAAAAAAAATTCGAATTAAATTGACTTTTTTGTATTTTTTTAAAAGGTTTTTGATGGTCTAGGTATTTTTGTTTCTAAACATTTTTTGGCTTTTTTGAAATTGTTTGAAGTTTAAATAAACTTGTGGTGAGAAGGCTTTTTTGGGGTTGGTCATGTTAAGCGATTGAGCGAATGTAATCGTTTAAAGAGCTCGCATGGGTTCTTTTTAGTTGTGAGACTTCGTTCATTATGTGCTTGGTCTCACTCGTCTGGGGTGGGGAAACGCAGCTTCGCCTCTGTGTAGTATTTTAAGTTCCAGCTGTTGGCACTCTTCGCGGAGCATACTTGGAGAAGCGGTAACATGATAAGGAGAACAGAGGCCTTGAGCTGAATTCCGACAAGAATCTAATTTTAGTCGACTTTTTTGTAGTTTAAGTAATTTATTCTACAGTTAAACATTTTTCGGTTTATGGTGTATTTCTATGTTTTTACACTCGCGAGTGTCATGTAATCGGGAACTACACTTTTTCGCCGTAAACACTTTTTCTTATCATTGACTTGCTTTATCATTGAACCTTAACAACTTCCAGGATCCTTCCACTTGGACAAAAGATAACGACATCGCTTTTGCACCCCTGAGGTTTGAGTCTCGGCCGGTCCTTGTTTTTTTCTGTATGGATGCAGTTGTGAAAAATTGAATTGTCAAACTTTTGTTTGTCTGTTCAAATTTTGTCGGCTTAGTTGCAAGTACAAGTTTTGTTCATTGTAATTTCGAACGGGGAAGGGGGCTTGGTTGCCACATCATATCAAGGATTTTTTTATTTTGCTGTAAGCATTTTTCATTGTAGTTGCGAGTGGAAGTGTTGTTTATTGTAGTTTCAGGTGGGACTTAAAGGATTTTTTTTGCTCACCTTGTCTGCTCAAAGATTGTCGGCTTTATTTCCTCTGCGTGAGTTTTTGCTCAGTTGCTAATTTAATGTAGAAATGTCTGGCTCGTTTGTCTAAAATAAACTTCTACCGAGACATACGAAAATTTAAATTTTGGTATACCTATTTTTTTTCAATGTTTTCCATTTTTTCGATTTATGTCTTTCATGTTTGTGTTGTATCATAAGTGGTGCGAAGCTGGGCTTCGCCTCTGTGTGTAAATTTACACCCCCTGAAATCGTTTGTTTCTTTCTATGTTTTTTTTTTCGCTCCATTTGTTTGGCTTAAATGGTTTCGATTGATATTATATCGGCTTAGTCGTGTAATTTTGCATTTTTTGGAAGAGAAATGGCTTTTTCTCTTTGTTTCCTCAGAGAGTTTCAAAATTTTCATTTTTTCACTGTATTAACTGGCGTCTGCTCAATAGTAGTTGCCGCTCGATAAAATTTTGTGAATGCCTTTTTAGCGCTGGCAGTTGTGTTTCATGTCATGTTTGTCTCAAATTAAACATCCTACATTTTCTCTAGATTCAGTTTCGACATTTTTGTAATTGATTAAATGGGTCTGTCATACTTTTCTACCGGTACCTCGCAATGCGGTGTCAGAAGTGTTCCGAAGTTCTGCTTCGCCACTGTGTGGAACTTTGGTCATTTGGTGTTTTTCCTCAATGTTATCATGAAATAGCAACTTCCAGGCCTCTTCTTACTTTTGCCTGGAGGTAATGCGGTTGCCTCTGCGCCATATGGTCTGCGTTTTTTCCGTGAAAATTGAATAGTCGGACTATAATTTGTCGGCTTAGTTGCCAGACCCTACATTTTTTTGCACTGTAAGCCGTTTTTATTGTAGTTTCAAATGTGGTTGATTGGCTCCGAAAATTTTTAAGTTTACTATACCTGACTGATATATATATATATATATATATATATATATATATATTTTTTTTTTTTCGCTTAGACCTTTTATTCGGCCTAAATGTTTCCGGCTTGTGTTATGTCGCTTTTACTTAATTTTTTTTGCATAAAATTAATCATAAATCTGGATTGTTCGTGCTTAGAATAAAATGTCTCGCGATTGTTAGTGGTTGTGTATCGCCACTGAGATTGAGTTTTCGTATTTTTCGACTTGGTTAATTTTTTCGACGTAGTTATTTCTATATCTACTTTTTTCCCAGCTTAACTCGCATATAATAGTGCTCAATTTGGTGGCACTTTTGCTATAAACACGAGCTGTAGCATTGGAAATTTCATGGCATCTGTTCTCTGCTTTATTTGTGCTTAGTGTTTGTCGATCGGTAAGCGTCCGTGGCCGAGTGGGGCTCCTACTCTCGAGATTGCCGGTTCAAGCCCGTCGCGCAGCAAAAGTTTTACTTATTTGAGTCTTATTTCTAATGTTCCTTATTTCGCTTTATAGAGCTGCTTTTTTGTCGTTTTCTCGCTTGTGTTTGCGAAGCACAGCTTCGCCTCTGTATTGATAGCTTGCAATGCTACGCTTTCGTTGTATCTCAAGTGAAGTTGCCTCTGTGTTTTAAAGTTGTTCCTGAGCTGATTAGACTGAAATTTTTTCAAAACAGTTTTGCATTTCTTTTGGTACGCGTTATAAGCATTAGTAAATCATCTGGGTTTCTATACCTTGGCATGTTTTAGTTTTTGGAGACGAGCAGAATGTGTCCGAAATATCATGGGTTGTCGTTAGTTTGTTTCTTTTAAATGAGCAGCTTGTTAATAGATCATTCGTGGGGCTGAAAGATGCGAATGAAAATATGAGCAGCCGAAATTTTTTCAGTTGTTTCAGAGATATAGATGTTCTTTTATAAATAAAGTTCTAACAACTTCAAAAATATTCCGACGAGTTGGGATTTAAGTTAGGGACTGAATTTTTTCAAAATTTTTTCACTTTTGATGATTTTTTTATATGCCAGAAACTAAACGAGTATTGATAAATATGGGCGTATTGGATTTTTGAAAATGCATCCTTAAACTTATAAGCTCAAACGCCGCAATTGTGGATTTGCGTATCTGGAATAGAACTTATTTAGCATCGTTTTTCTATTGGTGGGAAATTTCAACTCATGAATTGGAAGCCGCTTCAGCTTCTCTGAGCCCGCTAGTTGCAATCTTTTGACGTGAAAGAAGCTTGGGTGGTTAACTAACAAGAGATCACACTGCCTCCAGACTATTTGTAGTCAATGCTCCTTTTTAGGTATCTTGGAAGAAAACAAATGAAAGATGATTTAGCCTGTGAAGAATGCAGTCACCTGGTGAGACCTGGGTTGTCTCATTGGACTGTCGGCTACATGCTGACCTTAGAAGGTGCAAAGAAACTCCTTAACACAGACATTCTACAACAAGTAATTCCTGTGGACGAGTATATTCCTCTAATGTACAATCAGCAACCCATGTTTAAACAGTGGGATGATTGTCTCTTGCGAAAGCATTCTAGTGAAATTCTCCTTAATGCTTTTGCGGCTAGATTCGCGCTCGTCAAGCCTAGATATGATTGGCTAGATTTGAAATATGAAAGCGACACTTCGGAATCATTGTATGTAATCGACGAACCAATGCAAGATGACGAACCAGTACCAGAAGATTATGAATTGCTCGTGTATGAAAACAATTGAGTTTTATTTGTGGTTGATTATTTATTGATTGAAAGATCTGATGATTTTGATTTGAACGAAGAATGCAAATTCAATTTTTTTGAAAAGTTTACAGTTTGTGAACATTCTCATAAAATTTATTGGACCGGGCATCTTTTGAAATAATTCCAATTTTTTTTATGACAATATATCAGCAAATGAAATGTTATCACCGTTCTTTAGAAATATTCGACAAACTTTGAACAAAGTTGAGATGATGGTTTGCTGTGCAAGTAGAACAGAAGGTCTCGACGATAGTTTTTTTTCAAAAATCGTTAAAATTGTTTCGATTTTTGAAAAAATGTATATTGTGTTTTTCTAAGCTTAGAACAAGCCATGGCTTATTACTCGAGTCATTTTGAAATTTGAAACAAAAACGTTTCAAAGAATTTCAAAAAAAACTTGCTTTTCAGACAATTGATAAAAATAGATGGCATGCAATTTGGGTTCATGGGTGGTAGATCAACTACCGATACCGTTTTTCTTATTAGACAATTGAAGGAACTCTTGGAGGTAATTGAATTACAAAATTTTTTGTTCTAATTATTTTTTACAATGCTCTCTGTATTTTAGGTTTTTGATGGTGCAGGTATTTTTGTTTCTAAAGATTTTTTGGCTGTTTTGTAATTGATTGAACATAAAATAAATTTTTTCGACAAAAGAAAACTATCTTTGAAGTTTTTCGGTCTTAATTTGTCTTTTCATTTGATTTTATTCATATTCGTTTTTTTTGTATCGCAAGTTGTGCGAAGATTTTCAGGGGTCGGTCATGTTAATCGTTTGAGCGTATGTAATCGTTTCAAGAGCTCGCATCGGTTCTTTTTAGTTGTAAGACTTTGCTCATTATGTGATTGGTCTCACTCGTGTTCGCGTTGATTAAACCTGGGCTCAAGTTTTGATTTCAGGCCAAAAGTGTATTACTCAAAAAACCGGATTATATCCATGTGCTTGTTGCTTAAAGGGGGTCGACGCAAATTCAATATGCTGCAGTTCTTGTAATAATTGGGTGCATAAAAATTACTGTGACTTGAGAGAAATACCTATGCATAATACTAATTTTGTTTGTCCAAGATGCAGTAACCCTTCCAGTTATCACTCAAATCAGATTGCTACTCTACGGATCAATCAGTTTGATATCCTTTATGCACACACTGTCAAAAAGTTCTGCTATCTCGTTGATATGATTTCCGTTAAAAATGACGCAATGCGTGCATCATCGGTCAGAAAAGAAGTTTTCTGAACGAAATGGCGGCAAAATGCGCCTCTGCTGCTGAATAAAGATATTGACTGGATTACAAAGTGTCATATCTTCGGAGTTTGTCTTCGGGCAGTTCTGACCTTTTGCTCTGAAACCTGGGCGAAGACCCAGGCAATATCCAGCTCTTTTAAGATTGCTGATATCAAAGCTCTGCGTAATGTTACAGGAGTCACTTATAAAGACAGAGCTACCAACGAAGCAGTAATTAAAATTGACAGGTCTCATTGATCTAAATATGAAGCAGTAATTAAAAATAACAGGTCTCGGACAATATAAAACAGCGGTCGCGGCTACGATGGTTCGGCCATGTTCACCAGAGATAAAATGACCATGCGCTTAAATCAGCATACCATGTTTCAGTCCCTGGCAAAAGACCACCAGGAAGGCCTTTAAAACGCTGGATCGATTGTGCTAAAAGAGAACTGAATACTTAATTCTAAAATCCTAAGCTGTCTTGATCAAATGGTATGGAAAATTTGTTATCCTCCATTAAATAGCTTGAATGCCATTGGGAATGCCTTAATCTAAAGCATTGCTTTCGCTTTTCCCGGATGTCAACATGCACCGACACAATGGGAAAACGGACGATAAACGCATTAGTAGTAGTAGTAAAATTTAAGCTTTTGTTAACAGTTTTTATATCTTGAAAAGCTACTCACTACTTTTTCTCCAACAATTTTCCAAAATTCAAACCGAGACTACTGAAAGGGTTTTTATATGATGACGTCTATTTGTGGTAGCTGATTTTGTGTCGGGAAAAAAAACAAAGCAAAACAAGAATGACCCGTTGCTGTGCAAGTAGCACTCAAAACTTTGACCAGTTAATTTTTAAACAAACTGTTGATAATCATTTTTCTTTCTAGTTGGAGTGGTAGTAGTTTTTTTGTCCTTTGTAAAGCCTTGTTTTTGCTACTCTTAGTGCTGGGTAAACTCTAAGTACAAGTTTCCCACAGCTAAATTTCAAATTGTTAAAGATTTTTGGAAATTTTGAAAGGCCGATCGACTCAAGACTGCAAGAGTTCTTCTCTAATATATCAGTCGGGCCATTCTGATTTTTGTACTGACACCTGTTCGATTCGTTTACATAATCTAATAACCCTGTGCTTTGTGTTTAACCAGCTAAATAATTCATACCTTTTCTAACTATTGTTTCTACTTTAACCTTTGTCAAGACAACTTGACGATCTAAGGTGAGACTTATAACTTAGGATAAAATTACTAAGCAATCAACCAGCAATGAACGCTTAGTAAAAAATCTTTCTTATAGCTACTTCTCGGCGTTGTGTTGCTTGTTTGGAAAGTGCAGCTTCACCTCTGTGTCATAACTGCGACGACTTGTTGCTGGCTACGATGTGTCGCCTGCGACGAATTGTCGGCATAACGCTGTTCCTTATAAGAAGCTAAGTTTTTTGTATTTATTTGGTACATTCTACATTCCGTCGGTTCTTTTTCCCTTTTTTAAATGCAATTTTTATCTGCCACGGTTGCTATCGGCCTTTCTTCTAAATAATGGTTTTGGTTTTGATTTAAACAATTTCTTCTTTAAGTGAAAATTTTGCAAATTGTAAATGTATCAAGGCTGTATCAATTTTGAATATTTATATCAGACTTGCGGTTAGCTAGAGTTATCAAACTGGAACATAGACTTTTTGGGTTATCAACTAGTTTAACAGAGTTTTTTGAATTTTTTTTATCTTAGGTTCATATAAAATTAAAATCAGATGTTAAATCGCGCATGTGGCGAACAGCCAACTCACCTGCCTATAAGGACAAAGATCAATGGATAATGGATCGAATTCTGCCAGGACCTGTCTTTTTTTGGTAAGAGGAAAAGCGCGTCAACTTTTGTTGACGAACTTCTGTTTGTCTACTTTTTTGTCGGCCTAGTTGCCGCAGCACCCAATTTGCCGAAAATTTCGGCTTTTTTACTCAATTTAACTACCATTTCAGTGTATTTTGTTTTTTTTTGGTCAAATAATTGAGTTCTAACAAGTTTTGCTTTTTTTTTTTTGCTATTTCTTGACTTTTTTCATGCTGTACATTAAAAGTTTTTGGAAGTTGTTTTCTTGTACAGTTCAAGTAGTGTTCTGTCCATCTGACCGGATTATATCCATGTGCTTGTTGCTTAAAGGGGGTCGACGCAAATTCAATATGCTGCAGTTCTTGTAATAATTGGGTGCATAAAAATTACTGTGGCTTGAGAGAAATACCTATGCATAATACTAATTTTGTTTGTCCAAGATGCAGTAACCCTTCCAGTTATCACTCAAATCAGATTGCTACTCTACGGATCAATCAGTTTGATATCCTTTATGCACACACTGTCAAAAAGTTCTGCTATCTCGTTGATATGATTTCCGTTAAAAATGACGCAATGCGTGCATCATCGGTCAGAAAAGAAGTTTTCTGAACGAAATGGCGGCAAAATGCGCCTCTGCTGCTGAATAAAGATATTGACTTGATTACAAAGTGTCATATCTTCGGAGTTTGTCTTCGGGCAGTTCTGACCTTTTGCTCTGAAACCTGGGCGAAGACCCAGGCAATATCCAGCTCTCTTAAGATTGCTGATATCAAAGCTCTGCGTAATGTTACAGGAGTCACTTATAAAGACAGAGCTACCAACGAAGCAGTAATTAAAATTGACAGGTCTCATTGATCTAAATATGAAGCAGTAATTAAAAATAACAGGTCTCGGACAATATAAAACAGCGGTCGCGGCTACGATGGTTCGGCCATGTTCACCAGAGATAAAATGACCATGCGCTTAAATCAGCATACCATGTTTCAGTCCCTGGCAAAAGACCACCAGGAAGGCCTTTAAAACGCTGGATCGATTGTGCTAAAAGAGAACTGAATACTTAATTCTAAAATCCTAAGCTGTCTTGATCAAATGGTATGGAAAATTTGTTATCCTCCATTAAATAGCTTGAATGCCATTGGGAATGCCTTAATCTAAAGCATTGCTTTCGCTTTTCCCGGATGTCAACATGCACCGACACAATGGGAAAACGGACGATAAACGCATTAGTAGTAGTAGTAAAATTTTAGCTTTTGTTAACAGTTTTTATATCCTGAAAAGCTACTCACTACTTTTTCTCCAACAATTTTCCAAAATTCAAACCGAGACTACTGAAAGGGTTTTTATATGATGACGTCTATTTGTGGTAGCTGATTTTGTGTCGGGAAAAAAAACAAAGCAAAACAAGAATGACCCGTTGCTGTGCAAGTAGCACTCAAAACTTTGACCAGTTAATTTTTAAACAAACTGTTGATAATCATTTTTCTTTCTAGTTGGAGTGGTAGTAGTTTTTTTGTCCTTTGTAAAGCCTTGTTTTTGCTACTCTTAGTGCTGGGTAAACTCTAAGTACAAGTTTCCCACAGCTAAATTTCAAATTGTTAAAGATTTTTGGAAATTTTGAAAGGCCGATCGACTCAAGACTGCAAGAGTTCTTCTCTAATATATCAGTCGGGCCATTCTGATTTTTGTACTGACACCTGTTCGATTCGTTTACATAATCTAATAACCCTGTGCTTTGTGTTTAACCAGCTAATTAATTCATACCTTTTCTAACTATTGTTTCTACTTTAACCTTTGTCAAGACAACTTGACGATCTAAGGTGAGACTTATAACTTAGGATAAAATTACTAAGCAATCAACCAGCAATGAACGCTTAGTAAAAAATCTTTCTTATAGCTACTTCTCGGCGTTGTGTTGCTTGTTTG